GGGGGGGCTAATTAGATACAGGTACTGTATATACACATAATGTTTTGGATTGTGTTCGTAAGGAAAGTTGATGCATTATGTTGGTCAAATCTCCATGGGACATTTTTTTACGATAATTGAAAACACACCTGTCTATATACAGTACACAACATTTACATGTACCCTATAGGCCTCCTGTACAGTTATCGCTATTTTTAGCAATGATCTTTGCAGGAAGCCAATGAAAAGAGTCGCTAAAAACAGGAGAATATATCTTAGCAGAACGTTCACGTTCAAATATCGTACAGTGTATAAAGTAGATATTTCAATTTCGTAAAATATATTAAAAGGAATTTCATTATTATTTATATTCACACTATTTGTAATACTTTACATTGACGTTACCCTTACTTGCCGGTAATGGTTGCCTAAAGTACATTGGGACATCATGTATCTCATCGCACGGGTTTGTCTTTAGTACCCGATTTTCCTCTTTTTGTTGTAACCCTTACTTCATGATCAGGGCATAGTCTGGAGTGCATGACCCGTTATTAATTTATATTACTACATTGCTATGACAGTGTATTTTCTGGTATGTTACATCTCCCATTATCTCGAATATTTTCATAATCTGGTCGTCTTCGAGAAAGGGCTTCGACAAAACGGGGTTTAGTTTAGAACTATGGAAATAATTGTACATATTAGTCTTCGAAATGCTATTGTGCTGTCTTAAAGCAGTATTTACCCTTACTGTTATAACCGTAGTATTGTTAAACTGTTATACATGTGCACGAGACGAATCGATAAATCTACACATTGACAAGCGTACATGTGTCTCGGTGTACCCTGGTTGTGTTTAAACATGTTTCATTTTAAAAATATGCATAAATAAATTACACACAATTTGTATACCATTTTAATGTATTCAAAGAGAGAGACTGTGTTTATTCGAAGGTCTGCATATGAAGCACTAGTTGCAAACATTGATGTTTAGTTTGCTGATAATATTCCTCGCAAACCACATGTCTGGCGGAGACCAAGGGAATTAAATCAATCTTCCCTTCGAACACATTCTGGGTTACTGTTTGTTCATCCAAACAACGTTTTGTCTTAAAAATAGATAGCAAAAAAAATAAAAAAAATATAATAGAAAACAAAAATCGATTACAATAATCTCGATGTGAAGAGCCCAGCTCCTGCATAACGCAATGAATTATATTGTTTCCGTTGGTGTTACTGTTTAATTGCAGTTTACATACTAAAAGTCGTTATCTGGTTTCAAGTTGTTTTGTATAACTGCTACGTTTAATGTATATTTAAGTGGACACATTTCGAAGGAGTTTGTAAAACAAATGCAGATTGTAAAATTCCAACTATACAATTGATGAGTGTAAATCAACAAAAACAAGATCGTATAAAAGAAAATATGTTGCGGAACTTCGTTAATCCGGACATAGGTTATCCGGATTCCTTTCGGACGCTTATAATCGGGATAGAAATTAACTCATGATTCCATTGTTAAAAAAGGTTGAACAAGACAATTAGAAGCTCCAGAAGATAAGCATTTGTTTTCAAGACTTTTTTGTCCAAATCGGTATACAGTACGGGAGTGTACCGGACAAACAGGGTCCAACGGTATAGGTCACTGTGGCGTTCCGGACAAACAGGGTCCAACGGTATAGGTCACTGTGGCGTTCTGGACAAACAGGGTCCAACGGTATAAGTCACTGTGGCGTTACGGACAAACAGGGTCCAACAGT